GAACGCTGCAAAGTGCGGAAGGAGCAGGAGAAACAGGATCTGTCAGCCCATCTAATTAAGGTGCATTTTCCCCACGCAGACTCACACACATCTCTCCAAGCCATAGGGCCCTCATTTCTTGCCTCAACCCAAACCAGACTGAATGTATTTTGCATTTCTGTGACAATTTGTTCTCAGCACTTCTCAGGAAGGAGAAGCACAACATACGTGTCCTATGAAAACGTTTGCATGCTCGCAGATATCTCTGTCTCTGCTGCTAATTGCATTGTGTCCATCCCCTTTGCAGCTACTCTGTTGCAGCAACCGGCCCTGTTACTCCATGCTACCCCCCTTTGAAAAAAAAAACTGAAAGCCTGCTTCTCTCCTACGAGCTTCCCAAAGTAACCATGTAGACATGAAATCATATTCTTGCGCAAAGGCTACAAAAGTCCGGCTGCTGGCATTGCTGCTCTTCTACCCACTAAGTAAAAAGGAGATTTGTTTATGCCCTGCGTAGGATCATGTTATAAGGATGCTTAAAATGAAGTCACCAGTGCTGAGAGACTGCGTGAATATCCCAGGCGGCACCCTCCAGCCCCCAGTTGAGCTCTGCAGTAGGACTGATGACAGCCCCAGTACCGTGGCCACTAGGAAAAGCAACGTAGATCAACAACTCATTTTTTACAGGCCAGTGGGCTGACCTCTGGGCAGCATTGGAACGAGTCAGCATAAAGGTGACAAAGCTCTGTATACCATTATAAATCATCCAAACGAGCCAGCAGAAAATCTGTGCGCTGATGGGAGTTCGCTTATACTTTTTCCTTTATTATATATTTTTTTTCCCCTTTGTAAACAGAGTTCTCTCCCCCGTGGTCTCTGAATGCCCATACGGCAGGTATCACGAGAGGCATTCTCACATCCCGCTCTGGGGGAAAGCCGGTCCTGCTAACCGAGTGCTCGCCCAGCGCGCTCTGTGTCTCGCCAGACGTCACACCAACAGATGACGCAAGCGATGCCTGTTGTCCAGGTGGTGGGGTGTGACCTATTTCTGGGCTACAGAAGTTTGGTTTGGGAGGAATGTGCAATGTCCGGTGAGAGAGAGGGGAAGGAGGAGCAAATCATTATAGGAAAGTCAGGAATTAATCCTAAATCCTATGTAGTGGCTCTGTGTTTTCAGAGGGAAGTAAGCAAAACGAAAGCACTGTGTCACAGCCTCAGGACCTCACCATCAATCCGGAGTAAAGGAGGAGAAAGCATCCTCAGTGTGGGAAGTAGAAACTTTGCCGCTTCCAGAACTAATGCCCCCAAAATCTGCTTTCCTTAACAGCATATGACATCAAGAAGGAGAAATACTTTAAAGACAATAGGCAATTTCCTCCTCCCCCGCCGTCAAACAAGCCCATTCATACAAAAAGTATCTGCTTCCCCAACTGATCATTAACAGGCAGTACCTGCCCAGCACCGCTGCCAGGTGTCTCAGGTTTTATGCATGGATAAGCTGTCCTGTAACTGGGGCAAATGTATTCTCTGTTCATTTGGTGGAGTATTTCTTCAGTCATTCCTCTCACACGATACACACAACCAGATGAGCTCTGTGGCAACAGGGTAAATATTCACAGATAACATTCCCCTCTTGTAGAGTTTCCTCTGGCATGTGCTGAAGGATTCTTGGTTTTCTTGTGACTTGATGATTTTGTCATATTTTAGAGCAGCTCCTCCAACCCAAAAGGACACAGGCACCGTCCTACACATACAAATAGTATTTCCAAATTTATACCATTGCCCTCAAGTCACAATCCAGAGGGCACCCCACAGAGGTTGTGAAGACAAGGGAAGCATAAGCTGTTGAGTTGCACCATGCGTAGCGCTCCTTGAATTAATGAAGATTTTCAGTTAGTCTGTATGAGTTTCTGGAAATCTTTGGGGCCTTCCAACCTGCTGACCTCTTCAGCCATAGGGAAGTCTCTGCAGGTCCCTGTAGATAAGCTGTCCTGACACTTCAATTTGTGCACACAGCCTTTACAGAGCTGTGGTTGGTTTGTACTATGCTGCATGTACATGCTGCCTATCCAGGAAAAAAATAGCACAACAAACAAAAAAACCTCTCTCTGAAATACCCCAGTTCCCTTGATTGATTATGGAAATCTCACCATTTCAAATTTCCAGGAACTTCTGGAAAAGCAGGCAAGCCTTTGTGCCTACATCCCTTACAATATAATTTGAGGGAAATTACTGTTTAAATAATAAAGAGAAGTCTGTTTTGATGGGGAAAACCAGACAACTGAATAGAGCTGGTTTTATATCAGGTGCTGTGTTCATTTAATGAGTTTTTCTGTACTGTAATAGTTTTCAAAACAGGGCAGCCAAGAATTCCCTTCTCCAGTTATCTATAAATCAAGGCTGAAGAGAGAAGAAACAGTCCCAGAGTGTGGTATGCATCAGTCTGAGCAATCACTCCAGCAAGTCATGCAGGTAAACAGCTACACAGCCTCAATTAGCAAAAAAAAAAAAAAAAAAAAAAAAAATGGTCATCTGCAAACCAAGTACAGAAAAAAAGCATAGAACCCCATCAACCAGCCAAGCTTCCCTGTTTGAAGAAAGGGAAAAGGCAGCTACCTCCCGCCCCCCAGCAGACACTGCCCAAATCAAGCAGAGACACCAGGTTCCACTTTTAGGAGTTTCAGTCGCAGAAAGAGCACCGGACATGGGGCCAAAACCATTTAAGCAAGGCAGTCATCATGTCCTGACTGCGCTCCTCCGTGAGCTGTGAGAATAAGCTGTGTAAATTCTCTGGCTGACGGGCAGGGGGGCAGTCGCAGGGCTGGTACACTTAATGGTATGGTTGAGCCATACCTCAAATTGTAGGGGTCACCAGAAGGCGGCACAGAGATCAGAGCATGGAGCAACACGATCCCCAGGCAAGGCATGAAAGTACCTGAATTGAGAGGGACATAAGGGCTAGAAATTGGGCAGAAATTTGCTTGCAGGCAAATAGGAGATAAAAATAAAAAATATATACACACCTGCAAACCAGGGCAGGAAGAGCTTCCCAGCAAGGAGGTGAGGAGAGAAAGGTAAAGGGAAGAGAGGAATCTAGACCTGACTATGGCAGCAGGAAACAGTATTGGCAGTTCCCCCCCAATCATCTGGATAAAAATACTAAGGACTGAGGTGTGAGTCCAAGAGGCCAAGGATGGGAAAATTTGCTAAACTAGAAGCAAAAGATGACCGCTTTGGACAAGAGGTTTGAGCAGAGGGAAATGAAGAGGAGAGGAGAAAGTTTGGAAACTTGTGTAGAGAAGATAACAGCAGGATTTAGCAACCATAAGGAATGGGAAGGGGGATGGGTAACAGGAGTTAAAAACAACAGAGTTGCAAGCTATGTTTCATGGAACTAATTCAGCAAAGAAACAGCCTCAAATGGATGTAAACAATGGACTATTCATTAGGGGTTTCATTCTCTGCAACCCAGCAAACTATTGTGTAAAAGTTTTAAATACTCCCTTCACACACACTAAATTACAGAAAATGTGAAACATCAGATAATCTCAACAACTTGCCTCAAAATCACTGCCCTCAAGCATGCACCGTGCTCCGCAGGCTCTTCTTCCGACCATCTGCCAGCACGTGTAGGAAAATAAATGATTAGGACCCCAACATAGCACTTCTGTAGGGGTCAGCGTAAAAACCACTCCACAAACATCTGAACAATGCCCATAATGTTTGTGAAGCTTAAAATGCAATTCTGCTCTTGCCTGCTCCTGTCCATCTCTGCCTCACGTTTGAAGTAGGAGGTGGCTGTTCCATGGGTCCTACCCTCCATGGTCACACCACCACCAGTGGTCTTTGCGGGGCCAGAGCTGCTCAGCCTCCCACAGCTGGGCCCTCGTGCCATCTCTAGCACAGCTGATCAGTTTAAGTGCCATACTTTGCTTTCACACTGCCTGAGACACTGGGACCAACAGGGAGCAAAACCCGGGCGGCAGAGCCTGCGAGCAGGGCTGGGGAAAGACCCTGCTGTGCTGAGGCAGCTGATAGTTGCTTATAGTGGCTGGCACTTCCTAAGTAGTTGGGATCAGGGTTTTAAGCTTGTAAGCCAACTCCTGTTGGTACAGAAATCATCAAGAGGTAGCACAGAGGAAATCTGATGGTGCTATTTCCATTTGGCTCCGATGAGCCAAGCCTTGCACATCTGGTCTCAGACTACAAACTACAGCAGTCAGCCTGAAACTCCCGCACAGCTTTGCACATGTAAAGGACAGGCAGTGACTAACCAGCACAGGTAGATGAGCTCTGTGGAGCCTTTTTAAGCAGTCTCACCCCAAGCATCCTTTCCACCTTGCAGGGGGAGCCTCCCACACTGACAGAAGGTGATGCACGCTTGTATCTTACACCACGCCCATCTGACACAGCAGCTAAACCAGCAATTCAGAGTTTGCAGCTACATTTTCAGTTGCAGAAGGTAGATGCACATTTCTTTCCGATGCCTCCATTATGGCAAGGGACAGCTCAGAGAGCTAGAAAATATGTTTAGCATCTCTATTTGCTCATCTACGATTTGTTTGTAAGCCTTCTCTAGTAATATCACTTTCTGAGAACCAGGGTGCATGACAGGGCATGGCAGTATCATCATATACATTCTCCTCTTGTTCTCAAAGGTGACTTGGCTCTTCGGGCTGCCCTAGCGCAAGCATTCACCCCCTCCAATCCACAGGCCTCGGAGAGAAGGGACTGGTGCTTCCCAGTAAAGGGCTAACAACCGTGGGATGCATTTGCAGGGCAGGCTTCCTTTTTCCTCGCCTCTATGAAGGCATCTGCATAAAGGACCTTTCATAGTGTGTCCTTCCCGTATTCAGGGGCAAAGGCTCAAAGGACCTATCTAGTCCCCAGACCTGCAGAGCACCGGCTGTAGAGCCTCGCTCAGTGCCTCTCATGTCTGGCAGGATGACCTGTCTTTCAGGAATACAGCCAGCCTGTCTGGAGGACTGCAGGGAAAAGCTCCTGACAAGAGGCTGTCTCACCGCATTTCTTCCTCTTGCCCAGGTCCAAAGTTACACGAGCACTGTGCCTCTGGCTCAGTGTTACGTCACATCGCTCCCACCATGAAATACACAGACATAAGAAGAACTTGGACTTCCTTGAAGTTTTCACTCAACTTCTTCAAACTCTGACTCCTTGCGCTGCAGGTCTGTGGAAGAGAGGGAGCGAAGAGACAACAAGTCTTTTCTTATCCTTAGTCTTGGGCATCTGGGTAACAACAAAGCACCTAATTCTGTTTTGTCTGTTATCCAGAAGTGCTGCATGTTTCATTGAGCCCTGGAAGCGTGCAAGCAACACGCAGCCCACACAGGAAAAAATTGGCCTGGAAATGTGGCAGGAGGAGGGGAAGAGCTCAACAGTTTTAATTCAACTTGCATCTTTCATATTGCATGGACAGTCTCCGTTCATGTTACACAGTGCACAAGCAGCACAAGTCACTGCTACAATGGGAAAAATAAAGACAGATAAACTGCAAATACGTGGATTCATTTACATTTCCCCTCTCATCTCAGCATGCTTTTACATATTCGGTTCACATTTAGGGTTCACATAGTTCACAGAGTATCTCAATATAGCAATTGCACACTGACAACTACTACAGTTTATGGACACCTTTACAACTGCCACATAAGTAGCAGGAAGCAAAATGCTTGTGTACAACACCAAAATTCCCCTTTTCAGCACTCTGAAAAGCCCCTGAGCTGGGTATAAGACAGCCTTTGGGGCTGTAGGAAATGAGTCCTGGAGATTCTGCAGCTCTGTATGTTTTAATTTTAACCTAAACTTTCAGTGTGAAAGGGAACACAATTTTAACCTAAACTTTCAGTGTGAAAGGGAACACAGTTTCTACCTCTTTTCACGGTGAAGATAGCCACCAAAATGTGAACTGAAGGTTGGGCAGAAAAACTGAGGAAGCACAGAGAGCGGGTGTTGTAAGTCACATGTGGTCTCCAGCATATGGGTAACAGTCACACTTAAATAAGGAAATCAAATGTCAGTCCACTACCCTTTCCAAAATGAATCTCTCTACTGACTCCCAAGAATATCCAGCTTCAAAGGCTGAGTGCCTGCTTGCAGGAACAGCCAGACAGTAGAAGATTCACACAGGGAAATAACTTGAGTTTGCTCTGCTCCTCTCTTAGCCAAAGTCCTTTTCATTAAGTGTTTTTCACTGAGCTATACAAGAAAGAAACAGGAGAGGAAGGGGGCGGTGAGAGGAGGGAAGGGGGAAATACGGCATTTCCCATCAGCAATACCAGAGGAAAGGCACGGTGGGGAAATGGTAGAGGAGCTGGCTGCAGATCTCTTCCAGCCAGACAAGTGCAACTGAGGAACAAAAAGGAGTAACACATGGAGATCAGGGAAAGGAAAACCAGCACGCAGGGGAAAAGCCAAGAGAATACATAGGAAAGGAAAAGAGGGCGAGGAGGCTCTTCTTTTGGTGGGACTAACTACCGAGGAAACAGCCAAACACACACACACCAGTTTAAGAATCAAAGAGAAGCAGCTGAAAGTTTGAAAAAAGCATTCAAACACAGAAGAGAACAGGCTCTGTCTGAGGAAAAAACACGGTCTGGAAAACGCCAACAAGAAAATAAATGCTAGCAAGGAGGTGAAAGGGGAAAAAGAAAAAAAAAAAAACAAAACAGAATACAAGGGGTGTTTGGCTTTCTTTTACACATTGAAATCTTCACTCAAGTTCATTTGTAACTTCCAGAAGAGAGTCTCAAATCTCAATTTTAGGATAAAAGATCCAAGTTTTAATTAGTCAGCCCATAAAGGCTATTTTGCCACCACCTCTAATCAGCCTCCTATCACAACCATGGACATGCCAAGTATCTGAAGTAGACTTGGTTTAAAAGCTAAAACAGTACCAGTAATAGTAACAATTCCTGGCTGAATCACATTTTCATTTTAAGCTACACGCATTACCATTCAATGGATTTAATTTGAAAATTGTTATTGTTGAAACTTGTTGTTTGTTGGTTTGGTTTTTTTTTTGTTTTTTTTTTTTTTTTAGTAGCTCAGATGAGTAGGAACATTTCCTGTACTATGGATGAGATGACTTTTTGAACATTACAGGGTTTTTCCTTCCTCCTTTTCCCAGCCCTCACACACCTCTATTGGTGGGAACTTTCCTTGCAGACACTGTCCTTCCCAAGGACAGACTTAGAGAAGAGATGATTTCCCTTACATAGTTTAACATTGACTTGGGAGCTGATGAAAATGGTCGCTTGGGTGTACTCTGTGAGCCGATGAAGCTGCAACCAAATGTCTTCACTCTTTCTCTTGTAATTTGATACCTGGCTTTAGCGATCCCTCTGGCTCTTGAATTAGGAATGGAAAATATGAGAGCTCTGTTTCGCAGCAAAGGTTTAGAGACAGGGGAAAGGATGAAAGTAAAAAAAAAAAAAAAAAAAAAAGAATACATCTCAAGGCTACTTGCAAATGTTATTTCATTTACACTGGACTTTAACACCTGACAGGAACAACACATGCATGTTCTGTGTACCCACACATACATACCTACGCCAGTGCTACAATGTCAGAGCTCGTGGTTTGAAGCCTGAGCCCAAATCAGGCCAGAAGCCTGATTTCTAAAGCCATTCCCTTTACTTTGCACCTCTCGGCTCCAACTGCTGTGGGTGCAAATAATGACACGTAAAAGCAAACAGCTATTGCTAGCTGCTGAGGGAATGAGACATTAAAAATGCCAATAGCTGCTTTCTGCCTAACTGCAGTTCGTCACACGAGTAAAATGGGATGCTGGGCTGAAGGCTTTATAAAAATGTTGTCCCTAATCATCATGCTCATCTTCCAAGTCCTTTGAAAAATATTTTTAAAGCATCTCTCTAGTTACATCTCTTGTTACGTGCTCTCAGCCACACAACTGGCAGATTTCAAATCCCAAAACAGAGCACAAGAAACCCCCCTCAAACACAGCACTCACGGCAGTCTGCAGCACAACCAGCGTTCCCAGACTGCCCTCCTGCACCGGGAAAGGGTATAATGTGTTCACAGGCTCACAAGGCAAAACCTTCTCCGTGAGCATTGTGGCTCAGCCATTTCAGTGACACAGTTACAGCATTTGCCAAGTAGCTTGCATCATGTAACATGCTGTGAGGCTTTTCACAGCAACACGACTCCTAAGCTTCCCTTTGGGGGCCCATCCCCAAAAGCGCTGCTGCAAAGCGCTGGAACTCCTGACACCCACGAGCTTCCCCCGGCTCCGTGTGAACAGTAGCAGGAATCCTGCACTTCTTTTGCTCCTTTTTGTAGGAGGGTCTGCCCTCCCGAGCTCAGTTTAACACCGGCTCCCAGTGTTTACAGGGAAAGGTAACTGTCACCTTTCAGAACATCATCAGAGTCATCTTCACAGGAAGGTTTTGATGTAAATCAGGTGGGAAAGCAACAGGGAACCAGTGACAATACTTTTGCTGCGTTCTCAGGAATATGAATTTGTGTTACCATTAGTTGTTTGACAGAGGTCAAATTTTAGTTAATTCAGGATTAAATCCTGTCCTTAGAGCCACATGATGATACTGGCAGGTAATGTTGACGATCCAGGTGGAAACAAAGTTTAACTTTGCATTCTTCCACTACAGCATAAGAGCGCTCGCTTTTACAGACTGGCTATAAGATTTCCAAAACAGCACACTGTAGCCATGAGATGACATATATCAATAAAGCTATAGCTTGCTTGGGATGGAGAGAAACAAGCAGTGTGCAGTGCAAATTCAATAGTACAAAAACACAGCGAATTAAGCAGTTGGTTCCTGAGCTGAGGTTTGTAGAGATCTAGTGAGCTGCAGGATATTGGCTCTCCATCTTGCTTCCAGCTGCTTCTACAGATGTCCAGGCTCCTCATTGCCAAGAAGAGCTAGGAGGCTAGTGAAAGCAGCTGGAAGAGAAGGAGGTGGAGGAGGAGTCAGGCTTGCTGCCTCTGGGGAGCACGAAGAGGAGGAGAGGGAAGCAGGCACTGCCCACACGTGCTCTACAACTTTGGCTGAAGGTGCTGACCACTAAGAAAAGGCATAACGTCCAGGCAGAGGGGAATGAGGCACTGGACGCTTTGGAGTATAGTTTTCCTTTCTTCATTCTTTTTTTTCTTTTTTTTTTTTTTTTTTTTCCTTTTTATAAGGGAGCTAGGGGAGAGAATCGGGTCTTTGGGCAGCATCTCCGCAAGAAGCTGGGAGCCAGGAGGGCAGACTCAAAGAACCAGCAAGGAGAGGGAGAAAGACAGAGAGAAATAAAGTGATCAAATATTAGTGGTGTATGCAAGAGTGAGAGAATCACTGAGCAGATGGGAGGAGGGAAGAAGGAATGATTAACAGAGTGTGAAGCCCTTCCCCCTCCCTGAAGCAGGACTAATCACGTGGAAGACCGCTAAAATGTTACTTCCTAATATTGCTTTGTTGCGGTAGTTGCCACATGATGGTGGAGCTTGAGCCTTTTCCCCAAGACAAAAATCTCCCTAAAAGATGGGAACAGACCCCTCACAACAACACAACCACCATCTTTGGGCTGCTGGTGCTAAAGGGTCATCTGTCAGGACACATCTATGAGATCCTCAGAGCTTATATCTGTGTGCTCTTACCGCAAAGTCCTGCAGCAAGTCTAAAGCAGCGTTCCTGCTCTCACCCTGGTCACCTCCCCCTGCCTTCAGACTCACAGAGAAAAGCGACTGGCCGCCCTGTGCAAGCCAAATGGGAATGTTCAACTTCCCTGCAGCAGGAGCCAAAAAGTCTCGTCGCTGAGGTCAGAGCATACCTCTGACCAAGCATTTCTGGAACCACACCTGGATACTACTGATCCACTGCCTTCTCAGCATGAAAGCACGGGGCAAGCTTTGCCGTTCCACCAGGTATCGATCAGAGGTGCGGGTCAGCTCTGCAGCTGGCCTGCTTTCCTCGGCTTACAGCACAGCAGACAGCTCTCCTGCAGCAGGAAGGAACAAGGCTCCCTTTGCACCGTGCTTTTTTTCAGGCTGCCCACCACGAACTGGGGGAGAAGGGACATCGCCGCAGAAACACAGCCCCAGATAAATACATTTGCTAAAAAGAAAAAAAGGCTCCTATGGATTTCAGATGACAGCCTGTCGCCAGCGCTGCTCTGCACAAAGCTCCCACGGGACACAAGTATACAGTC